ATAGCGTCTCTTAGCGTATTCTATCGCCTGTACCACGGTGAGTGCTCTGAAGAGTTATTCAACCTTATCCCTTTACCGTCCCGCACTAAAAAGTTTGGCAATTCGTTCTTATGCCGAACCATCAAATTGTGGAACCAACTCCCGGCGCATGTATTCCCTCCCCTCTATAACATCGGGTCCTTCAAACGTAGTGTGAAGAAGCATTTGGCCAGACCGGCAAAATGATAGTGACGGAGTGAAGATATTTGTGTTTTCCATCCGTTACTCTCATCTCTGGACTGTATTCGCACTTTCCATCAGGCGCGGTGCAGTCATTTTGCCGAGTCACAATAAAAATAAAAAAAAGAAAAAAAAAATTAACTGAAAAAAAGAAAGGCAAAGGCGTGTCTTGCATACTGCCGAAATCATCTTCATACTTAATTTTTTTTTATTTATTGAATCAGAAATTTCTGGATTTAGTACTTTATATTTAATTAATATTGCATTAGTACATTATATTTTGTTTACATTAAAACGAAAATTTCTTTTAATAGCATAGTTGAGGCACCCATTTTTTATGTTAATTATTGTTGTTGATTCAGATTTCCTCAAATCATTGAAGTACGACAGAAATGGCTTATAATGCCAAAGAGAGAAGACGGGGTTTCCAAAAAGTTTTCAAAAATATGCGGCAAATAAACACTTTGAGGAAAAATGCTTTTAAATAAAATGCCTTTAGAGGCAAGCAAAGAGTAAAGCTACTGGTTCTAAACCCACATTATTCATGCGGTATGTCTTACAATTAATTGATTTTTGTGCAGCACTACTGTCATCAACAACAAATCAGCGATTTATTGTTGTTAGAGTTCGTTTCTGTTCCGAAATATGATGCTGATTTTTTCAAATTTGGTACACATATGCATTTGTGTGACCAAAACGTGCTACGTAAATAAATTAATTCTAAATTTTTAAGTCACTATTGGGAGGGAAAGTTCTTAAGAATATATATTTTTTGTAATTTTGAAATATAAATATTTTTAAGTTGTTTAAGAAAATAGACAAAAATTGATCATTCTACCCTTTATCTTCGAAACTACAGAGCCTAAAGCTTTGAAAAAATACAGAAATTATCTTTAAATTTCCCACTATTGTGCGAATAAACCTATATTTGCTGTTGGAATCTATTGGATAACATATTCTTCAACTACAATGTTAAGTTTGTACCGAAACCTCTCCGCGCGAGTTCAACTCGCACTTGGCCGGTTTTTTGGTTCTATTACTTATCTGCAAATTCACTGCTGTGATGCACTTCTATGTTATCATATCATACAATAATTATAATAGTTATATTTGTTTGTAGGTTGCGGTTGTCAGCTTGGTTCGTGGCCTCCATACTATCGCGCCGTAACTGATCATGGGTCTTATCACCATTTTGTAGAGCCATAGTGTTATCTTGGGTGAAAGTCCCCATTGTTTACCTACCATCCTATGGCACTACCAGTAGGTGATAGTAGCTTTCTTAATTTTCTATTGAATCATTAATTAACTAGTTAATTAACGTCTCGGTATTTTGCGTTAAGACATTTTGGTGAATACAACGAATGAAATGCCGGTGTAATATGTTAATCGATATTTAAGTTAAATCAGTGGATGGCGCAACACTATTTATCTTGCACACATGCACATTATACGCACACAGATGTATTTTTGTTTTGGTCTCGTCTCCAATACGTCAGGGCCAATCTATGGATATACTAAATCTATGTATCTATACCTATTCCGTGATAATTAAGAGCATTGTTTTCCATGAGGATTAATAAATCCAACACAAGAAATACAACTTTAATTAAATTTTTATTGAATTGATATTCAATTGTTTTTTGTGAAATTACTCCACTAGTTTGTTATAATTATTAGATAATTCAAAGATCGAACACTCAGAAAAAATTCCTTCGATCCGGTCGGATTCGAACCGACGTCTTCTTGCATACCGTGCCAGACGCTATACCAACTAAGCCACGGAACGAACCAACGGACCTCACGAATTTTTGTATGTGCTTGCTTCGTGTCTTTGTATTTGATTTTTCAACGGCTTTTTAGTCGTAGCGCCATCTATGAGAAATCTATGACAGATTTATCACCCAGTTAGTACCTTTACAGCTACCAGTCCTGGCGAGAGATGTCGCTATTCACTGTATTAATTAAATTTTTATTGAATTGATATTCAATTATTTTTTGTGAAATTACTCCACTAGTTTGTTATAATTATTAATACAAAGATCGAACACTCAGAAAAAATTCCTTTGATCCGGTCGGATTCGAACCGATGTCTTCTTGCATACCGTGCCAGACACTATACCAACTAATCCACGAATTTTTCTATATAATAGATTTCTCATAGATGGCGCTACGACTAAAAAGTCGTTGAAAAACCAAATACAAAGACACGACCCAAGCACATAGAAAAATTCGTGAGGTCCGCTGGTTCGTTCCGTGGCTTAGTTGGTATAGCGTCTGGCACGGTATGCAAGACGACGTATCGATTACGCTGTTACATAGATATCGTTAGACTAAATTATGAACGGCCCAGTTCAAGAAGTCCCTAATTCCACTTAGGGATTTTATGCATTATATATTACCATTTATTTATTACCACCATTGGCGAAAACTCACCAATGTCTACAGTTTAGTCTCACCGTTTTGTTTCTAACCTGGTTTCTATGCCATGTTTAAACAAATTTGAAAAGCTGCTAAGTCCAATGAGTTGGGTTCAAGATGAACCTAAGTCTAAGAAATTTCTAAGTCCATTTTTTTTATATTAATATCACTGAGTTGATACTGAAGGGTTTGAAGCTCTTGAAATATGTACCCATTTGCTAGATTTTTATGAAATGAATACTCAAATAGCAGAATACACCTTTTTTTTACACCAGAATACACCTGCGAAGAAATATAGCCGATGCCTGTTTTTTGTTGAACATCGCACAGAGTAAGATTGACTGTCCTGAGCTCCTTAGTAACATTTTACTCAAAGGTCCAGTTAGAGCATTTCGAAAGCATAATTTGCTCCATGTGTAATAGCGTTATAAATGTAAAAGCTATTATGATTGATAATTATCAAATGACTTATAAGGTGATTGTTGTGTTTTCATAATTAGATGTATCATTGTAATTTTAAGCTTGTGTTATTGTAAGATTATTTCTTAAGTTCAAATGTGGAAGCTTTTAATTGGCATCTGTTTGATCATACTTAAATCTATATTGTAAAAGTAGCTGTAAGCTCCCCAAATATAATAAAATAAAATAAAATAGCTGAAAATAAAACACAGGAACTAGAATAAGACTTATTCTAGTTATTCTGTTTCATACTAGTTAGTCATACTTAGTACCTACTTTATTTGGTTCTCTAGTTTATACTACCTGAAATAAGTATATATTTTTGTAAATTAAGATTAATCTGAACATAAGATTAAAGGCTTTCTTTGAATTTTTAGTTATCATGGCTAATCACTTCAGAGAATTTTACCTCTAAGTCCAGAAAAAAAAATTGAAATCCTTTCCACAAAACAAGTAATACTAGCCCGTTGCACCAAGTACCAAGTCCCAAAAAAGTAATTAAAATGTCTAAGTCCCGTTTAAAAAACCCTAAGTCCTAAGGATTTCCTTCTTAGTCCAATATTATTTTTGGTCATATTATCTTCAAGCAACATTCATCAAGTCATAATAACAAACGTTTTAAACAAAAAGCCCCCAAAGCATTGACTTACAATCCAAAGCGATACTCTTTGACCACGGTTACTCTTTCGAAGATTTCGTATTATTGTTTCAAAGACAAAAAAACAAAAAGATTGTGCAATATCTCGTAGCTTAAAAAACGGACTAAGGGATTTCTTGAAATAGTTTACTCTTCACAACAGAAACTTCACGAACTTATCTATAATAAAGTAGACCTATGTATTTTGTGTTTTACTATCTTACCCACAGAAATCTAAATAATTTATTGAAATTTCTTTGCTCTTGCTCATCCGGGAAAAGTTGCGCTCTGGGGTAATACTTTTGTCACTTTTCCAAAATTCTACATTGTAGAATATTGTAACTTAAACTTATTGTAACTTAAACTTAAACTTAAACTTAACATTACTAGAATCGTAACACGTTTGACTATCAGCTACTGCAACACTTGCCGCAATTTTCTGTCAATGAGGGATTGTTACTTTTTTTAGAATATGACTATGACGTCGCCCTAGAGTCAATTAAGTAATTTAATATTAGTGTGGAATTTGGACAACATTTTTCAAGAGGAAGAAAAAACTTGGTGTAAAATGTTGTTAGTCTTTCTTTAAATTCGTGAATTTTACCATTTTCAAATGCTGTAAAACAAGTGTTTTACAAGTCATTCTTTTAAAAATTATCAAAAGCAAAATATTTAATAATTCCTTATTGGAGTTGCCGCGATGGCAGTGGCAACTTTGTGATATTTTACTGGTAAAAGTACGCGACTGGATTTCGGTAAGTTTGATTTAACAGTACATTCCATCGGAAAACAGTCTTAGCTGCTGTTGGCTAACGTTCTAAAGTCTTTAAAGGCAACAAGTCAAAAACCTTCTAAATGGTTAAAACGAAAGCCAATAACATAGTTCTGCCAACACAGCTAAGAATAAAAAACTTTGTACTTTTTTTAAATAAACCAAAAAGAGAAGTTTGTATTAGAATTAGGTATATTACAAAACATATTGTTCTTGCGCACGTAATCCTAGGTCTGTGGTTCTTACTGTATTTCACCATTCGCAAAAATGCAATGATTTGCTTTCCGCTTTCTGCAAGGTATTATTTAAGATCATGTGAAGTCAGTGAGTTTATAGTACGGAAACAAATACCAAGTCTATGACGGAGACAATATAAATAAAAATTTTAAATTCTGCGTTCAAAAAAAGAAAAATAATTGTCACAGTCTTCCCATCAACAATTTTGTCTTCATTTGTTTTATATATTTCAAAAATTATGATAAATCAATAGTGAAAAAAATATTTAAATCTAATTTCGCGCCCCATATACAACAAACGATGGCATGTCCAGCGATGCTACCCAACACCAGCGATGACGGGCTTTTCCTCCTGGAGGTATTAATAGATAAAATAAGATTCGCAAAAAACTTCAATTACGATCAAAAATACAAAATAAGTGTCGTAGTCCAATGTGTTTTCGTGGATCCTTTCGAAATAGGCGCCGACGAATCTGAATGCAATGCCTTTTGGACCGACGACGGCTCGCACGTGGTGGCCCTTAACATCGGAAAGTCTTGCTTATTTTCTCTTAAAGAATATGATATATTTACCGCCATGAGAAAATTTCCGATTAAAATAACTGTCTACATAACACTTCCGTCTGGGTTTCCACCACATAGATTCGTCGTAGGAGAAGCTACTATTGACATGACAAAAGAATTTGTTCAAACGAGGAACAAACACAAAGAAGACCCCAACAATGTCAGTTACCAAGCTTTGAAAGATTCTTTTTGTATAGTTGGAGCAGAAGGTGTAGAGGCTGGTGAAGTATCAATGTTTCTGCGGATATCTTGCTTCGGTAAATTGATTGTCACTCGGTTTCAAGGATTCGCGTGTCCTCCGCCATCAAATCCTGGTAGTCGCGTTTCTCGCGATTGTGCCGCACTTGGCACTTGTACATCCAGAGATTTACAGATTTATCAGATAACTGAGACGGCCCCAAGTCCGCAACAAGGAAATAGATTGAAAGGTCAACCGTGTACAACAGAAGGACATGCCCCAGGTGGAATATGCCCTCCAGGTAAAATGATAATTTAATGCAATACGCAGTTATTATTATGTTATTTAATTAGGTATGAAACTCAGAGACGAGCATGAATGGAAGTAGTTTCAATAGAAAGGCAAATCGAATCGTCTAGATGAAAAAGCAATTGAACAATACTCGATTTCCAAGAAATATTTAGTTGTAAATAGTTTTTACAATAACATAAAAAATTAGTGTTTACATTAACTAAAGATTTTTTTTAAAGTTAATGATATTTGCACACGTCTGCAGCTCGAGATCCCTACAACAGTAAGCCATGCGAAGAACCTGATGACCCTTGTTACTGCACGGGCCCTAAGAAACCACAAAAAACAAAATTAGCTTGTCGGAACACTGATCCATACTGTTTACATATACCGAAAGGTGAGAATCAATGCTCTGTAGTACCATTGAATCAAAATCTTTTTGATAATGCATTTTGATCCATTGGACGACCGTACTGGTCGAAAAACTTTGGTACTTACATTTAATTTTAAGCTTTACACCAACCTTATTCCAAATTGTATATATCCGTATACGCAACGTTTTTATAGGATTTGTATACATGTCTATAGGTGAATTGGCAACGTTTAATTTAATTCAATTTGATCCATGACTATATTATCGCTTAATACCGTGACATAGAAAACCAGTTAAGTGCGAGTCGGACATGCTCACAAGGAGTTACCAGATCTAATCGCTTACAAACCCATTTCTATTATTTTTCTCAATAAAAGTATCTAACAAGAATTACCTCACGACTTCTTATTAATATTTGAGGATTATCGCTTTTCATAAGTAGACTATCGCCACACAGCTCCCAAGCAAAAGTCAACAATACAAATAATGTGTTCTAAAATATTTTCTCCGTGTAAACTTCCAACAACATTTAAAGTTTAACATTTTAATTATAGTTCATAAAATTATACACAAAGCGGCAAATTTCAATTGCATCCATGCTAACCATAAAATTACCGAGTGCCCAAACATGTCCACTCCCCGACACACACACACCACTGCCGATGCTTCGCTCCGCTACCGTAGTTTCAAAATTGTACTGTGTATGTCGTTTCCCTTTCATCTCCACAATAAATTCTGCTCTCGTGGCTGAACAATACATATAGTTGACTTCTAGCTTGAACCGTTTGTTGAAGATTGACAAATGCCGACGAAGAATTGTAAAAATCATTCTTTATGTTTGATTATCATTTCAATTACCCTGACAATCTCAGTTGGTATTAAGTAGGACTTGATGGGTCTCTTTCTTTAGATGTAAAATACAAATAATAAAAAACCTAATTATGAATAAAATAAATATTTTCCTTGTAAATTCCGATAAAATGATTACATCGGCATATGTACTAAAACTATTATGAGAGCTTTGTATAACGTGGGCAATGTGTTAGTTAGTTAGATTAGTTAGATTAGCATTTGTTTGAAGAATGGTTGTTTAGTAGTTAGGGTATATTGTTCCTTAATAGTTTTATGAATAGGGAAAACGCGGCTATCATTATTGAAGCACAGCAAGCGAAACTTATTGGCGTCCAGTCAAACTGTACAATCTACGAACTGGATTACAAGGCTGATAATCAACCGATATGCATGAAATCGAAGTTTGTTATCGACACCTGTCATTTTTTTCTCTGGCACGACGTCATCGAGTATATAACCAGAAATAGAGACGAAATAAGGGCCATACATTCCTAGTCATCACATCAGTGGATAAATCAATTATAAATATCAACTCTCGTTTACACAGAAGTAGTACAGCGCCAACAACTGATCTGTGTGTTCGTTTCCGTATATTCCAAAAATATTCTGTACTTATTGTAATAAAGATCTAACAATGGCGTGCTGTTCTATTCGGTGGTGTGGAAAAAACAGCAAAACATCTAATTACAAAACAAACTGAATCACATTTCTTCGTTAATTAAATATTAAATATGTAATTTTTCAATTTACGTCCATTATAGCATAGCTCAAGTTAAACTGGTCGTTTTGAAGTACATCAATTGACGACACCCATCAATTGTTTCTAATCATTTAAGCGTCTTGCTGCCACCTAATGCAACTCCCATTACGTCTTCTCATTCTATTATGTTGCACTGCAAAACTCATTATGTGTCGATATTTGCAAGTATAATTATTACCGTATGATAATTTTTTTAAACAATCGGTAAAACGTAAAAAAATAAATATATATTTTTATTAACCGACTTCAAAAAAAGTTGGAGGTTCTCAATTCGACTGTTTTTTTTTATATGTATGTTACGCGATAACTCCGGTATTTGTGCACCGATTTTCATGATTCTTTTTTTGTCGTAAAGAGGGTACCTCCATAGTTGTCCCATTTAATTTTGAAGAAAATCATCCACCTCTAAGAGAGGCTGTTTACGCATGAAGAGTCATTTTTATAAATAGCGCTAAATTTTATTTTAAGGAGCAATTATTTCAATGGTTGATTTTGCCATTCTCTAATTCAAGGCGTTTTTCTCTCAATATACTTTGAGTAGTGAGAACCGATTTTTATTATCTCCTGTGTAAAGTTCCGTATAGTGGCGAACTAAGGGATGAAATCGGGTTGGCGCACTTTCCGGTAACCGATTTCAAAAAAACATGTCATTCCAAGTACGTTGGAGGTCGGTTTTATAGGTATCTAGTTTGTACATACTAAATGTCGTTTGACCTTTAAACGATTGTTTAACTAAACATGGCAGTTTTTCCCTTATTCCTCACCTGGCTCAAATCCAAGTTAGTTATTTTTATTTCTACTTCATTGCATAATAAAACGAATTAAAAAAAAAATTTAAAAACACAGCTGCCCCTGTGCTCTTACGAAGTAAACTAAAAATTTATTTTATTTTTATTTATATATATTTTTTTGGTTGCGGTCAGTACAAAATGGTGTGTTTTGCCTTTTTTTGGTACCCAATGCCATGCTCACTTGGAATGGCTATGGATTGTAACAATGCTACAATTCGAAATCGGTTAAAACATTCAGAAGTTACAGAGGAATCAGTAAACGATATTTCCTTACAATATATTCACCATGAAAACATTACGCTCCTTTGTTTGATCAGTCGTCTAAAAAAACAGGTAATGGTTATTTACAATGCCATATTTTATATACATATCTCATCAATATATCATATCAATTTCTTACTTTTAGCGATATTTATAACAATAAAACAAAAAAACTGGTTCACATACCGTGTTCTGCTTTTAAACAAAAATCAAATAGAAAAAAGTTACCGTAATGTAAAACCTCTTACAAAATGAAAAAAATACAATATGAAAGTGGTTGTTATTATTATTATTTTAACTAAAGTAACCTTTGTTAGTATCAGTCATCCCATCACACAGTCGGTACCTACAATGAGAATTAAAATACAAAACCATTGTAGGTACCGACTGTGTGATGAAATGGCTGATACCGACAAAGGTTACATTAGTTAAAAAATAAGTTTTTTTTGTTTTTGTTGCTACAAAATTTATGAAGACGTTTCTATTTATTTGGTACACGTATGTTATGTAAAGTGATCTATCCCTTATTGTGAAGTTTTGGTTCAGGAGGCGTCCAGTCAAAATCGGGAATTGTTAATTGTCTGTAGCATAAGTATCAGCGGGAGTGTCAACGAAATTTTCATTATCAAACATTGAGGGCTATTTTGACCAGATCTCTGAGAATTCTTTACCAATTTATTGTTCTCATCTAGCTGTGCAGACAGCCCCCATATATTTCTACATACATAAGTTTTGTTTATAGCTACCCTCCACATCAACCTCTTGGTTATAAGGGAAGGGCACTATAACCTGTGCGGGCTTGCTCCTTAGAGGACCTTCTCAGTTAGGTCTTGGCCCCAGATCAGCCCGTTTGTATGGACTTCATCCGGTTCCCAAAAGGCTAGTGCCTTGGGTGAGCTGCCCCGGTTACACGTACAGCACCCTCTGGAAAATACTTCCAGATAGGTACCAAAGCTGTAGGCACGCTCACTTTAACGGTTGCCACCGTTAAGCCGTCGACTTTAAGTCACGCCGAAGCGTCTCTGCAGTTCCCATAAACATACGCATCTGGAGGGATCGAAGGATGTCTAGCTTATCCTTTAATATCTCTCCGGGCTAGATGCTGGTCGTAGCGTCTTGCGACATTGTCCGGACATAGCTTCCGACTTAAAGTGCAACTCACGTGACCCGCGCATCTCTTCGCCTTAGGCCCTCGTCTAGACCGCTACTAAAACGCGATAGCTGCGTGCAGGACAAACGCCCCGGCCGCATGTTACGGGGGCAGACGAACGTGTTCATCCCTGCAGCTAACCACAAACCCCGGCGAGTCCATACCTAAGTCCGGATCCACCAGAGATGCCCGTGAAGGCATATCACTGGCGGAGGGCTTGGCCCGCCTGCCCGCGTACCCTGGTTTTACCGAGGAACCTGTAGTCTCTCCGGAACTCCCTATCTGTCGGGTCAATAGGTAGAAACAGCACTCGCTGTGCAAACAGTCTAACATCACTCGAATGGGAACCTAATTTGTAGCTTTGACATGGAGATGTTTGCCGAGTTGATTCATGGCCAATTTGTAACAAGCTATTCGATATATTGTTAACAGAACCCACTGATGGGATTGGCACAGGAACTTTTTCATATTTAAACGGATTTTTTTTTCTTTATTTTGTGTAAGGGTATCGAGACTATCTAACCTCAACTCGGGGATTTCGCCGACCTTAACAATAAAATGCTTCGTGGTAGATAGCGGTCGTACATCAAATACTTTTAAAGAACTCAGTGCCTATGGCGAATTTCGTAGACACAATTTTATGGGTCGATAGAGCTCCAACAATTATATAGGATACCGTTAAAAACACAAAATCGTAAAAAATGGAGTTAGTGTTATGCTTCTCAGGTACGGAATTGACATTTCGTCTCTATTTCTGGTTATATATGGGTTATATACTCGATACACGACGTGTACGAATAAATACTACAAACAAGCTATCCTAATAATTTTCTTTAAACAATGAGTTTTTATTTTCTGAGCTTGCGATGACGAGCGATAACGACAAAAAAACAAGGGAAACGACCATTAAACGTTTTTGTCCTTCTTCCCATAATGTGAGTAATGAGTGCAAGTAAAGCGTATCCGGCGTTTCTTAACTTTACTACGCATTGACGCTACGACAGCGTACAGATTCATCTACATATCTACACGTGTATGACATCTACTATTCTTAAATAGCATATAAGGATAATTCTAATTTATACAAAAAGTAATTGGTAGGTTTAAGCGTTAATATAGTATAGTTCATATTTTTATAAGTTAACGTTGCCCATCCACACTTAAATAACATACTTTGTTCAAGTAAAAACTAAATCAGGCTTAAAATTTATGTAAGGATTAGATACATGGACAGATTTAGATATACTTGTTATTATATTTGGCCGATGGTAATATGAATACGAGCAACTTTAGGTATATGAGAAACAATTTGTTGATGGCCAGGTCGCAGTAAACAGTACGAAGAAATAGGCATGAACCTATCTGGCAACGAGTTAAAGATTAAGGTACCTGCCAGCGCAGCAATAATTAAGAAGATTAGTCAAACACATTGCGCTATACAAAAGCCATACGCCGGAAAAAAAAGTGAAGCGAAGAGTGATCCTTGCAAACCACCATGTGGGAAAAATCAAATAAGTCTGGCGTTACCCTCCGAGGCTATTTGCTGTCACGGCGCCCAATTGGCGGATACTCAATTTACATGTACTACTGAAGGGTGTACTTTAGCGTCTAAACATGGCCAGCAAGCACGCAGTGATCCGAAGTCAGACTTTCCTAATAAAGATGTTTTTGTATTAAAAGTAGCAAAAAATGCTTTACAAGGCGACAGAAAGTGTAAAATAGAATTAGAACTTGTTGCACCTAAAGCAGGTGAAAAAAGATTGCCTGTGCAGAAAATAAACAAGAGAATGCAATCTGATTCAGAATGTGAATGTTGTCCTGGAAGAAGACCTAGACTAAAACGACGTTGTGCTCGCCATTAGAATGATCTTGTTAACTTTGTCTAAAATGTCTATGTAGATTAATCTAATATCAATCAAATAGAGTATAGGATATGTTTATAACTTGTTATTTGATACCCTCAACGAATTGTACAGATTGCTGCCCGCCGGGAAACAAGGTCATATTCCAACTTCCGTCGGATAGCTGTGGAATGAATCACAAGCAACGAGCACACTTTAACTTCACATCTGATGGTGTAGGAGATGTTAGCCGAGAGGATTACACACAGCAACTGATGCCTACGACAGCCGAAGATTACTCAGGAGTCGTTTACGATTTACCTCCACAGGTCATAAAGATGCGCATTGGGAAGGCCGTAGAAATGCCGGGCCGAAAAACGAAATTAGAATATCAATTCATAACACCAGTGATAACCCACGAAAAAATAGTGCCGGTCAATGATACGCGAACAGCTCAATGCGTACCTTGCTGCGCTAACTGTTGCGCATCACCGTGTAGGCGTAAAAAATAATTTTGAATTGTGTTTTCAATGGAATAAATTTATTTTCCTTTCATTTTTTATTTTTTGTTATGTAGTATAATTTCTAATTATAGTCGTAGTTCTTTGTACTCAAAAACAAAAATAAAGTATCATAAACTGGTCGTAGGTAACCTGCCGAGTTTGCTGTTGTACCACGAGTTAACAGAAGAAAATACACAGGAAATTGGAAACACGAGTACGGAGACGATGCAACGGCATATAGACGGTATTCAAAGTTTATTTCAAGACAAATCGACAGTGAACGAGCTTCTAAGGATATGTAAAGACGATGAACAGTTTCTTCCAGAATTCTCACACGCAATACCGGATTGGAGTTCAAAAAAACAAGTTTTTTCAAATTCTCTGTTACTAAATCAGGAAGGTCGTGGTTCAAATACTACAAATATTTCGGGTAACGTGACAAATTTTTACAGTCACTTGAATGAACGTAAAAATTTAGCATTATTTAGCCAAAACGAGACTTGTGTTTACATGACCTTATGCACCGCTGACAACCATCGTAGAAACTCAGAAACACAAGCCACTGCTACAATTAATAAATGCCTCCAGGTCCACGGTGATACTTTGAAATCCATCACATTCATACCAAGTAACATGGGGGTAGACACTGGTTTTAATTATTGGAATTTTACCTCTGCCACTACAGAAAATTATAACTTAATGTCATTAGAACCGAGTTCTGTTGGTGATGACATACCTCTATATTTCCTGGGGCTGGGAAAGAAAAAACTAAAATTGAAGTCTAGTGTATCTACGGAATCAGAAGCAAAAACGCCTTGGCCACAAAAATCCGAGTTTAATACTCAAATGCACCGCAATAAACAAAAAGAGACAGATCGTCATCCACTGAACGTCTTTCTAAATCGATCAATCATTAATCAAAATCAATCAATTTATCAAAATCAAGCGACCGAAATGAGTGAAAATCCTTGTGTAAATCCTTTTAAAACCGAGATTTGGTGTCAAACTGGCAGTTGTAAACCACGAACGTGTACAGACTTGGTAGCAACTGTATCACACGTTAAAATAAAGCCACCAAAAGTTTGTTCAGTACACGACAAGGACCCATGTAACGTTTTCAAATCTTGCATAAACTATCCTCCCAATGACGATGATAAAGCACCAGTTATAGTTACAACAGGAGCAAATCCTCGCAGGGGAGTATTCGAGGTTGTTATACGCAGATTAAATGGAGCTCCCCTCGCTAAAAATGAGCTAACACTTGAATGGACTCCACCCTCAAGCAGACCATGCGGAGCTCCTTGTCCACTGCCATGCTTTTTTCCCAACACATGTCGCCCTACAAAATGTAAAACGATAGTTTGTCGCGCTCCACCCTGTAAGCCATTTAAGTGCTGTATGAAAATATGCAAACGACCATGCGGTCCAATACCACGACCGTGTGGTCTAAGACCGTGTGGTCCAGTGCCGTGTGGTTCAATGCCATGTGGCCCAATGCCTTGTGGTATAACTTGTCCTAAGAAATTCTATCCACCACCATGTCGGCCGAGCACACCACGGCTTTGTTTACCCGCATGTCAGTCAGCGCCACCACTGCTTTGTCCATCGCTGCCATGTCCATCACGGCCGTGTCCACCGCGGCCATGTCGATTACCTCAACCCTGCTTGTCACCATGTAGCTCACCCTGCTATGGTCGTCCGTGCCAAAGCTCGCCATGCTGTGAATATCTATGGCCCAGCATACCCTGCTTCAGACCGTGTCCAGTGGGCAAGTGCCGGAAATGGAAAAAAAATCGTAAACAAAAAATAAAAAAGCATCGCAAGCATATTTCACCTTGTCTGAACCGCGCAGAATATTGTCCAGTAGTAAGCTGTCGTAACATGTCGCCTGGATGCGGAACATGCGCCAGCTGTCTGCCGTGTTCCACAGCAAAATGCTGCAGCCCATGCAAATCCGTGAAATTCCCATTTAAGCCACGATGCTGCAGAAGCGAATGTGCCAACTGCTGTTAAGAATCTACCTTCAATGTCATAATCATCTCTCCATCTTTCGAATACAGAAGACATAAATGGTAAATTGGTTTTATTGAAAAACATGTATCCAGAGCTGTATCTACCTACCTAACGAATTTCGAACAGACTCGTACTCGTCCAATACGTTATAAATTGATCTCTGCGACAAATACCTAGCGAAACAGTGCGCCTTCCGGTGATACAGTAGGTACCATGCTTTTTTAATAAAAATGCTTTAGTTTTAAGGGTCGCCTCAAATTACCGCAGCTAGGCGACGACGCGACGACGCGACGCTGCGATATATTAAAACGAGCTATGCAACATTAAATGGCAATCAAGAAAGAAACGGCATACGAAGACATTTTCCCAAAGATATTTCCCTTTTTTTTTTTAAATTTCTGTTTTCATTTTTAGTTAGCAAGGATAAACTGCCGGATGCTAAATAATCACTGGATAATTATCAAAGAAAATGATAATTAATGATAAACCTCGATAATTTCGAACACTAGTATTTACCTTAATCGATAATCGCTAACTAATTATAATTATAATAATTACTATCGCGACATATCGAAAAAGGATAATGTGTCTTCACAAAGGGCGATTAACAACTAAAAGTTGTTTCCTTGAAAGAGAGACATAAGGCCATCTTCCTTATCTTTTACATAGTTAAAAGATGAAACAGTTTTATCTATCAGTGGCACTGCAACGCACGCTAGACCAGTAATAAAACAACTTGCCTTGAAATTTTATTATCTTCTACGGAAAAATTTGTCTCCAACATTTCAGAACAACTACCAACTGCTGAATCAACCTATAAACTACGCATCATTTCTAGGCATGGGTCACCAACCACAGGTGGTTAGTCCTAGCGCATGCGCACTGCATCAAAATATTATTCCTTTACCGTTTAAACAAGTGATACCATACCCGACACATACATATTAATACTTAGTTGCAAAATGGTGATCAAATTGTAATTAATGGCTGCAAAAATGGTGATCAAATTGTAATTAATGGCAGTGGAAGTATTAAATTTGCTAGCCTCGTAGAAAGTAACATCGTTAACGTCATACTAATGAAACTTTAAAATGATGTCGCCATTTCAAATGACTTCCTGTTCGAAAATCCTTATTCTTATAAAAATGTTTTACTTTTAAACAAGGATTTTGGATGTTCTTGTTTAATATTTAGGGAATGTCGGTTGTATATAATAATAATAACGCGCACACTCAACAAAGCCCCGCACTAGGGAAACCCTGTGTCGCGGGTGCCATGGACACACACATAGATAACCACAAATTACGCCCAAACTCACGAGAGAAATAAATGTAGCCATCAACAATAAAATCATGGAAGAAGTATGATGGTAATGTATTTTGCGTAATGGAAGTAAAGGAGCAACATACACAAAATTATTTAGCACATCTTAACAACACCCATAACAAAATGAAGTTCACTTGTGAAATTGAGAAAAATCGCGCGCTTGCATTTTTGGATGTATTGGTCAAAGTCCGACAAGACAGTTCACTTGGTCACTCTCTGTACAGAAAACCAACTCACGGGGATAAATATTTACATGCCACTTCACATCATCACCCAAAACACCTACATTCGGTCGTCAGGTCATTAACCAATAGAGCTTATGATCTTTGTGATGCACACAGGAACAGGAGCACGTTAAGACGGTTTTGCGACAGAAGGGATACGCAATAAAAACATGAACACCAATACAAAAAAGGAGTGACTCAATTGAAAGGGTTGATTCAACATAATCATTAAGTGAATAACCACGAAAGCCTTAAAATCTATATATTATCGATATTCTGTTATTAAAATAATTACTACGAGGTTTTTATTATTTCATTATTATTATTTTTATTTTTAAAGGTAACAGAATCGTTAGAAAAGAATAGTTAGAAATTATAGGAATGCCGAACATAAACGTTGGATCGAATACCATTTTCGTTTTTCATTCCGTTCATTTTGAAGAGTCAAATTTTAATATTTTTCAAATAGATCTTTGAATGGACCTAGATTGCAATAATAATGCAATTCCACAGTTACATGTATTAGTAAATAATTTTATATTTAATTTTGATTGAACAAGACTCATTACTAGGCATTATCTAGTAATGAGCTTAAAACAAAACTATCCAATCATCTCCGATTTTTCCCCACTGATAAATTTAACATACATACATACACTGTCATAGGCGGCCAATAATATATAGGAGCACCTGCAGTAACTTCTTTGTCATCCATACAGTTTCAAGGCACAACGAAAACTGACAGCGACTAATGTGTGGGCAGCTCGAGATTAAATTAGACTCATGTTTGTTTAAAACGAAGTTATTTAAGTGGTTAATTGAAAATATTTTTTTGACATAAGCGAAATATTTGACAGGACATGTAAAATTTTATCTTGATTTTAATAATTCTTGGCAAATTTAATTTGTAATTTATGATCATTTCTTGTGATATTTTTATTCTTGTGGTAGTTTAATGTATGATAATTTAAAATATGCCAAACACTGACATTGTGTCCACCATGTTTTAAGCAGGTAAACGCATTATTAATATTACATCTGATTTTATGATTATCGATAATATTACTACTATAATATAAGTCATTTAATTTATTTCAAAAATTAAAAGGGAGTGTTAAAGATTCACCTAAGTCAAAATCATTGATATTAATTAATTCTTTACCAGTGCATAAATACAAAACAGCTTGTGCTATTTGAAAAACCTTTTAAAAATTTCTTTCTTATATCAATCTTGAGATTGGAAATGTGTAGAGATCTCCAGATTTATATGAGAAAATTGTCTCTTTTTTTAATATGTAATATTTGAGCATTTATAAATGCAAAATAATAAATTCAAAATCTCATATGACATTCCCAGATATTCCCATATGACTTAAAACATCCCCAAATGGAATATTGATATACTTTAATCAAACGTTTTAATCACACCTTGACTACAGTAAACTATATAAATTACAAATAGTAAACTATATAGTAAACTATATAGTAAACTGTATAAAAAAACATGTTCAACATTCAAGCCATATATTTGCATGTCGATATTGACTTATAGATGATTATGGGACAACACTCCGCTATTTGTGGTGCACAATTTTGATATAGTAGCCATTGTTAATTGTAAGTCAATGATAGTAGCCACGTTTATTTCGTAGACAGAGTAGCTTCTTTACTTTTTTTTCCATCCTCTAAGGTGGATAGGGACTTAGAGGATGGAAAAAAAATCCATAGTCTAAGGGATAGGGAGCGCGTGCCACTGTCAGGGTTCTTTACTTGCGATTCTTGTGAAATTACATGAAAATATGAAACTAGAAGACGAGTTTGTTGTGGCAGACAGCTAAAATCTTCCAGTAGATGTATATTTGTTGATACTGTTGCAGTACATACGAGAAAATGACTTATAAAACATTGTAAATTCGCTGAGCCAAAATGTTGGTTTCATCTAGGGATTCGCGATTCCTACGTAGAATCCTCTATTGGATATATGCAATTAATAAGAGACAATGTAATTTGTAATAAAATAATAATATATTATAATGTACAAGGTATATATTACAGTATACACTTGTAATATACATAATAATGTTTGTATTAATACTACTGGCAATAAACGAATATAAATATAACATGTAATGAGCAAACAACACTTTTCTTCAAGATACTCAATTAGCCAGTATATATTTTTTGGTAGTTGTAAGTCTTATGATCATAATTAAATTGAACATAAGAACTGTCTTCCTGATAATTGCCTTTTGGGTGAGACAACATCAATTGAACTTTCAAATTCTGGAATGTCCGTTGTGCAACCAGCGATTGAAGGACATCAGGATCATCGGAAAAATGTTCTGCATCAAATTCTTCAAAGATCTTATTTTTATTGATTTTTTTTATAATAACGCACACACTCAACATAGCCCCGCACTAGGGAAACCCTGTGTCGCGGGTGCTATGGACACACACACAGACAACTACAAATTACACCCAAACTCAGGAAAGAAATAAATGTTGGCCGTACAAATATTTCTCGGCCCAGGAATCGAACCTGTGACCTCTGCATGGCTGTCCGGCAAGGTTACCGTTTGGCCACTGACGCAGTTACCCTTTTCTCTCTATCTTATTTGATTTTGATCCACATAAATAGGTTTTTTGGTCTTCTTCAATAAATGCTTGTTACTTCCAATACAGCCAGCTGCTGATTAGCTCTTTCTGGTTTTTTTGGACATATTTTGCAAACTTCTAATTACCGCAGCCAGCCAATTCTAATTGTAAAGTTACAATTCCTAATAGTTCAGCTTGAAAGTTATTCATATTTCATATCGTCTTCTTACTTTCTGAAACTCATATCTTAAAGCACAACGTAACTGAAATGCAAAAAGGCATTGTGCATACAAATTTTGCAGGCTGATTTCACATCACATTTACTTTATATTCACTCACTGGTTTATACCCATTCTTAAAGTAATGCATCCAACCCAACCACCTATCCAACCCTTGATAAGTTTTGCCATCTCTTGAATAATTCCTCTTTATAAGAAACATGCTGGAGAAAGTAAGGCATCGAAATGTTACGGTAATTAGGCTAAGAACATTGCATTGTGAGAATGGCCGATAACAGTTACTTCTTCTACTTTTAAATGTTATGGCCCCATCGAAATAATCAATGATTTTGCCAATGTCAAGTAAAAATAACTATGTACGGTAGTTTAGTATTATTATAAAAATTATACAAAAAAAAATGGCGATTTCGCCAATGTCCTGTGAGTTTTACTAAAATTACAATTTAAATTTAAAAAATATAAAAAAAAGACTTGGCTCAACAAGAAAAACCTATGAATTAAATTATTAAAAAAAATTAAGTTCTATAAGTAGCCAGTATTAAACTTTCAGTGTTCTAGTGGTTATATTCTCTTTGATCCTCTTTCGTTAGTAGCGTGATGGCGGATACGTCAAGCCTTTCAATCACATATATTCGCAGAAATTCTAGTTACTAAATTGCATAATGAATTCCAAAGGAGCAGACAAAAGTAAAACTAATGGCAATTCATACAATTCTAAGAGAAAACACATAGAACGACAACCACGCTCCGAAAGATCAATAGTTAATTTAAACCATGTGAGTAGCTTTATTTCATTTGTTACCCAGCCCGTTATGGCGTGACTCATTCATCGTGGGTAAACATTAAAATATGTATAGCACACTTCCCGATATAGTAATATATCGGGAATATAACACATCGTTGTACGCAAATCAGTTGCAACATAAAGTAAAAATATGAGATGACCCGAATGTTAAAAATTTACAATGTTGATCATCGAGCTTGGTCTTTCC